CCCGCTAGTAATCATCACAGAAATCGCAAACCACAACGTCTGACAAACCCTCGTTGGCGGCGGGAGTGGAGCGAATATCCTCTTTTAGGAGGCATATGACCAGCAGAAGCTGCAGACCATAGACCTGACTCCAGTACCCTACCCGATATCCGGATTCAATGGGTCCACAACATATCCAGACGGGAAAATCACTCTTCATGTCACCATCAACAGAGATCGATCAGCTCGGAACATCATGGCCGAATTTTTTGTCATGGACGTTCCATCTGTATACAACGTGATTATGGGGAGACCCGTAATTCACGAGATCCAAGGAGTAGTCTCTACGTACCATCAAATGATGACATACGTTTCAGACGAGGAACACTCCGAAAGAATTTAAGGCAGCCAAAAGGAAGCCTAAAGATGCAACTACCTCAAGCCATCCAAAAGTCGCTGCGACGACGAGGATGAGGAGGAGAAAGGAAAAGAGAGGGACCAATGCACAAAGAAGCCAAAAGGCTTAAGTGCTTCGGCCTAAGGCACACCAACGCAAGAAAAGCCTCTAGGGAAAGAAAAGGTTGGTTCTACATCGAGCCGAAGGACTCGGAGCACCAGCCGAAGTCTGGGAAGCCTGCTAACATTGACAGCAGGCCAAATTGTAAATAGTTTGGTCCCAAAGCAATGGAGCTAGACCAACAGACTGAGTTAATCGAGTTGACCGAAGGAGACCCTGAAAAGTGTGTCAGCATCGGGCTCGGACTACATCCGAACGTGCGTGTTGAACTCATCCAACTCCTTCGGGATAATAAAGATGTATTCGCTTTCTTGACAGCGGGCATGCCCGGGATTAATCCAAACCTCATCTCCGACAAGCTTAATGTCGACCCCACCTATCAGCCAATTAAGCAAAACAAGCGGAATTACTCCGCTAATAAGAACCGAGACATCGCAGCTGAAGTAAAAAACCTTCTGGATGTAGGCTTCATCGAACCCTGCCAATATCCGGAATGGCTGGCTAATGTGGTGATGGTTAGAAGGCAAACGATACCTGGAGAATGTGCGTTGACTTCACGGACCTAAATAGGGCCTATCCGAAGGACTTTTATCCCTTGCCGAGCATCGATCAACTAGTCGATTCGACAAGTGGACATGCTCTGCTTAGTTTTATGGATGCATTCTCGGAGTACCATCAGATCTTCATGCACCCCGACGACCGAGAAAAAACGGCATTCGTTACGAACACCGGGGTGTACAATTACAAGATGATGCCCTTCGGATTGAAAAATGCGGGGGCAACATATCAAAGGTTGGTTTATCAGGTCTTCGCCAAGCAAAAAGGCCGCAACATGGAAAGAGGACAAAGACCATGTCGCGGACCTGGCTGAAACCTTCGCCACCCTGATAAAGCATCAAATGAAGCTAAACCCGAAAAAATGTGTCTTCGGTGTGAAGTCAGGAAAGTTCTGGGCTTCGTGATCAACAAGAGAAGGATTGATGCCAATCCCGCCAAAGTACAAGCAGCGCTCGATCTTCTCGAGCCAAAAACAAAGAGGGATGTTCATCGCCTCACCGGGAGAATGGCTGCTCTGTCTAGGTTCATCTCTAGAGCCTCGGACAAAGGGCTTCCCTTCTTCAAAGCGCTGAAGCTCCCAAAAACAAAAGAGCTCATCTGGGACCTAGCTCAACTTCCGACGCTGGCTCCGTGAGCACCTGGCTCAACTTCCGACGCTGGCACACCTAGCTGAAGAAGAAACGATGTACTTATATGTGGCAGTCAATCTAGCCACTATAAGCGCAACCTGCTAAGGGAAGAAGAAAATATTCAGCAGCAGATCTACTTCGTCAGCCACACTCTGACAGATGCCGAGACTCGCTACCCCTACTCGAAAAATTTGCATATGTAATAATGGTAGCCGCTCGGAAGTTGAGGCCCTATTTTGATTGTCATCAAATAGTGGTCCTAACTAATAAACCGCAGGAAAAAGTCCTCGGCAAAGTTGAAAAATCTTGTAGGCTAACAAAGTGGGCCTTCGAGCTCACCGAGTTCAGCATCAGCTACCAACCGAGAACAGCCATCAAGGCTCAAGCTTTAGCGACTTCCTGGCCAAGTGCTTTTACTAGAAAACGCTAGACGAAGAGAAGAAAATCTAGACTGTATTTACGGATGGATCCTCCACCGTAAATGGTTCAGGGGCAGGGGTAGTACTGACCTCTCCCGAAGGCAAATCCTTTGAGTATGCACTAAAATTTTCAATCCAAGCCTCGAACAACGAGGCAGAATATGAGGCAGCAACTACTGGCCTAGAGTTGTGCATATCTCTGGAAGCCGAGCATGTCTGTTTGAAGACAGACTCTCAGCTCGTTGCAAATCAGATCCGAGGTGAATATGAGGCCAAAGAGCCCTCAATGATAGCTTACCTCGCAAAGATCATAACAGTAATTGCGAAGCTGAGAAATTTTGAAGTCAGGCTGATCCCAAGAGGTCAGAACGCACAAGCCAATGCACTCTCCAAACTCGCAAGTTCAACTCTAACCGAGATGAACCGATCCGTATATGTGGAGCTGCGCCGAGAAAGAAGTGTGGATGAAGCACCTGAAATTTGCTGCGCCACATATGAGCCGAGTTGGATGGACCCCATCTTAGCTTACAAACTTCGGGGAGAGATTCCTGAAGACCGGAGCTTAAACTCCAAACTGAAACGAATCAGCTTTAGATTCATCGTCTTCAGAGGAGAGCTGCTGAAAAAATCATTCTCAACCCTACTACTAAAATGCGTGGATCAACAGATGCAGATTATATCCTTCGGGAGATTCACCTCAGCATCTGTGAAAACCACATCGAGGGGAGAGCTTTGGTCCATAAAGCATTGAGGGTAGGGTATTATAGGCCCACCATGATCCTAGACGCTAAGGAGCTGGTCAAAAAATGCGTAAAATGTCGAAAATTCGCACCAGTCATCCATCAGCCATCCCGAGGTCTCCAGTCAATCCTGAACCCGCTTCCATTTTCTCAATGGGGGCTGGATATCTTGAGGCCATTTCCCGATGCTCCATACCAAAAAAGATGGCTCATAGTCGGCATTGACTATTTCAGCAAATGGATCGAGGCCGAAGCAGCCTCGAACATCACAAAGCAAACTGTTAGGAAATTCATCTTGCAGAACATTATCACTCGCTTCAAAATCCCAATGGTCTTTGTCTTCGATCATGGGAGGCAATTTGAAAATTTTCCGCTAAGGCGGTACACTAATCAGTTCGGCATCAAGTTGGCATATTCAGCAGTATGTCATCCGCAGAGTAATGGTCAAGCCGAAGCTGCAAACAAGAAGATTCTCAATGCTCTCAAGAAAAGGGTTGAAGATCAAAAGTCCAAGTGGATAAAGGAACTTCCAGGAACCCTCTGGTCACTTTGGACAACTGAAAACGAAGCTATGGGACATTCACCTTTCGAGCTGGTGTATGGGTCCGAAGCTGTCCTTCCAGTGGAAATCGGCGCAGAAAGTCTGCGGGTAAACCTGTTCTCAACTGAAGAAAATGAGCAACTCATGAAAGAGTCCCTCAATTTTTTGGATAAGGTCAGAGATTTGGCTCGAGACAGAATGGTTGCATACAAGCAAAGAATTAACAAATTTGACAACCGAAGAGTCCATGTAAGACTTCATAAAATTGGGGATATTGTCCTTCAGAATGCTGCAGCTGTGCAAAAAGGCCGCATTCATGGGAAACTCTCATCCACTTGGGAGGGCCCCTATGAAATTTACGATGAGCTTCAGCCTGGAACATACCGACTTCGGCAGTTGGATGGAATAGAGCTAAAAAAACCATTGGAACGCTGATGTACTTAAGAAATACCATGTGTAAGTCCTTCGGGGAAGAACAGTCTATGTAAGTGCATCTTTTTAATTAATGAAGGGCCCTTGAGCCAACATTTCTATCAAATTTGCGAGTTTTTATTTTCTAATAAGTTTTTAAAACGAATGGTTACACCTCGGCATTGTCCAAAATATAGCCCAGTAGAGGCATTATACTTCAAATTGTCGCTAAACCAGCCCAACAAGGAACAATGACTTCACCACCGAAGTATAGCCATTCTAAGGCATTGTACTTCGGATATGTCAGTTCCTTGGGGCAAAGAGGCCGTAAACGAATCTGAAGCATAGCCAAACACTAGCACTGTGCTTCAGAGGAGTTATATCCGAAACATTTCCAGAATGACGGCCTTGTGTTTCGGATAGCCATTCCCTCGGATAAAATTCTAAGGATCGAGAGAATACTGCTCTCGGAGTCTAAGACTTTTGAGCAGCGAACTCATAGATTCTTCAAAAAAACATAGAAGAGAAAAGAAAAGAGCAGGAACTTCAAAGCCTCGTCCGCACCAAGAGTTCAAAGTAAACACCTTAGAGACCTGAAGATTACAACTTCGGATTTCTGGGGGGCAAGAAATACTCAGCTATGCAAACATTCCAAGCCGAAGCTCAAAACTTAGAAATTTTTTGCAAAATTCAAGAAAAAGCGAGAAAGCTAAGCAAAGAGAGCAAGGCAATGGAAAAGAAAAGAAAGCAATGCATTCATAGCAAGTTAAATATGCTCGGATCTCCGAGATACATCAAAATCAAAGTTTCAGAAAAGATAGAGAAATAATCTAAATCGGCAGCCGCCTACAAGCGAAAAATTACAACTGCTGAACTAAGTACAACTACTCAGAAACAAAAACAAGTTAGAGTTTGCACATCAAGGCAAGCTGAAGCAAAAGATTCAAAGGCAAAATACAAATGCAACAAATTTAAAAATTATGCGCAAGTTGACCCGCAAGATTTTGTAGACAACAGCCTGAGTCCCTATGCTTCAGCATTAGCAGGAACAGGTTGAGCAGTTGTGCTCGGACTTCTTGAAGCTTCAGCATCAGCAGAGGAAGAGACAGGCTGAGAAAGAGTCCTCTCGGACTCTCTCTTCTTAGCTTCCTCCCTCTCAAGCCTCTCGACTTCCTCTTGTTCCCGAGCCTCGTTCATGTGAACGTCCTATGGGTCCATGGACCAAGCCTCAGCCAAATCCCAGTTGATGGCGGGATCATCATGGAAAGCCAGTCGTCGAGCGACCTTGAAGCCATTCTTGAAGCCTTGTTCGTATTGCTCTTGGGTGTAAACCCGGACTTCCAACAGCTTCTGAGCGGCTTCAAGTTCAGCCTGAGTCTTGGCAGCTCCCTTTCCTTGAGTTTTCAACTGATCTTGAGCATGCTTAAGCTCGTCCTGAGTCTTGGAGGATTCCACCTGTCTAGCCTCCAGCTCATTCTGGAGCCGCTGAATTTCGTTTCGAAGCTTAGTTTGGATGTTCAGGGACTCCTTCTCAGCAGCGTTAAGCTCTCTCTTTTTCTCGTCCTGAATCTCCTGGATCCGAGACTCGAGGCCAGGGATATCCTCGACCTCATATCTCCTCAGTAGCTCGGCTCCGTGATCCATCAATGGGAAAATGTGCTACTCCAGATCCTAGAGGACGATGTCAGCTTTCCTCTGCAGCCTGTCCGCCTTGGCCCTGGCTACAATAGCCTCTTCTTCAGCAACTTCTCTTTGAGCCCAGTAATGTTGGCTCGGAGTTCAGCATCCTCGAGCTTGAATTTAAGCTCTTCGTTCATCTCCGCAGCTAAGTAATGGTTATGAACGGCCTGCAGGGTTCAAAGATACATCAGCCGAAGTAAAGAAAATAAACAAAAAACCTGAAAACTTAAGTGAAAAAGCTTAAGTATAAACAAGTTTACCTGCATCAGCAGCCTTTGATTCGCAGCAAATGGATCTGGAACCCTCACGAAGGGCTCAGACACCCCAGCTACGGGCCGAAGGGACCAAATCTTCGCCTTCTCCAAATCGGATAGGCCAGGTAGGTCACCAAAGAACTCAATTGCTGAGGCTCGGTGAGATGGAAGAGCGTTCCTGGCAGCATCAGGAACAGCCAGTAAGGGGGCAGACTCAAACCCTATCTCAACATATTGGAAAGTCTTGAAGGAGTTGCCTGCCGAAGTCGAAGGCATGTCGAAGTTCTTCGCATCCTCAACTTTCTTCTCAGTTTCCTTCAGAGCATTAAAATCCTTGGGCTCCTCTCCCAAAGTCTGCACATCATCATCCTCAGGATGGACAATCAGTGCATCAGCTTCCTTCTGAACCTCATTAGCAAAAGGTTCGTCCACGTGCCGAGGAGATGGTGGAGGAGTTAAGTTCGTGGACTGAACTTCATGGGTTTCAGCCACTTGCCCAAGAGGGGGATTTTTGCTGCACCTCCTCGTCCTGAGTCTCGGGAAGAGGAGGTGTCTTCTCTTTACTCGGCTCCTCGGTCTGAGGCTTCTTCGCATGGATTGGGGCAACTTGGAACTGCCCAGGTAGGACAACATCCCTTCTCCTCTTCGGACCGACATTTCTTCGTCTAAAGATGATTCGTCCGAAGTTGACTGGCTGGCTCTCCTGTGTTCTCATCTTCTTCGTCGGACTGCAGAAGAAAGAACAAGGGGGCAAAAAGTCACATAAGTTCAAAAAAAAAAACAAAGAAAGAAGAGGCAAATTCAGGCAAACCCAAGGACTCACCAAAGTCTTCAACAGACGAGCGTCTACGGAATCTTCTTCTTCTTCTTCTACGACTTCTTCTTCTTCTTCTTCTCTCGGCTCAAAAGAAAGAATAGAAGGCCCAGCTTCACTTCGGGAGGCCGCAGCGGCAATAGTCGCAGCTACTTGCTCTTCAGCTGAATAGAGAAAGTAGGGGTCCACCTTCTCAAACCAAGGCTTTTGCAGATGATACTCAATCGCGCTGACAATCTGAAGCCTCTTCTCGGCCAAGCTAAGAGGACGGTCTTGGGGATCGGTGATTTTCGGCTTATTTGTAGTTGACACCCGAGTTCTCCTCGCACACTTCTGAAAGAGATAAACAGCAATGAGTTTCCCGAAGAAAGTAAACAAACAAAAGCAAAAGCTGAAAATTAAGTCTCCGGCCTCAGCCGAGCTCCTTACCGCTCTGGTACTTTCGGCTGAGGCCGATGACAGCAAGAATCTTCTCTTGGAAGATATAATGGAAACAGGGCAGCCAGACGGAGGGTACGTTCGCCATTCGGCCTGTGGCCCCCTAGCTAAGAGATCGGCCGAAATGCACCATCTGCATTCGGTTCGCATCAAAAAATTCAGCAGGCCCGATGTTCCTCATCTCCGGATCGGGGTGCCTCAAATATCTCGGCGCACCAAAAAGGTTCGGGAGATCCTCGTCTTAGGGTGCTCTCACCCAGATCCACTGACCCCTCCATTCCTTGTCCGAGGTGTCGTTCAGCCAGACTTAAATTTACCCCTTTTTACCTTCGATCTGCCACCAGCCAGGGCCATAGAATCGGTCTGCCTGAGAATTCCGGACCAACTTGTGCATATGATGAAAGTAGTAAACGTTCGGCCGAAAACCCAAAAACAGGCAGACCCAAAGATAGGTAATCATCCTTCGGATGCTCACGGGAGTCAACTGGCACAATGAAATGTTATACCCGTTCAGCAACGAGGTAATGAAAGAATGAAGGGGGAACCGAAGCTCGTATTGCAGATGACAGGTGTAAACCCCGATATAGCCTGGGGGAGCACGGTGAATCCTCTCAGCCCAAGTAGGCATTCGGCACCAATACCCGTCAAACTCCATAATCCCGTAGCAAATCTCAATTTGCTCGGCGAAGCGGTACACAACATTGTTCTCGGTCCACCAATGGTAGGGCCGATAGGCCATAATGCCTGAGTTATAGGCTGGATCTAGCCACTCCCTTTCCTCGGGAGGTAATGTCTGAGACGTCGAATCGGCACTTCGGCAAGAGGTGCTAGTCGACCCCGAAGCCCTCGGGGGCAAAAAGCTTATCGGGATGGCCCGGATGGCAGAACCGCTAGAGGCGGCAGTACCGCCGATCCTCGCCCTCGGATTCTGGTCGCTGAGCGGCGGCATTAACCCCAAGGGGCGATTTCGTCGCAAAATTAGCTGAGGAACCTCCTCCTCTTCCTCAGCATTTTCACCAACCCCAATCTTTCTCTTCCCACGATCGCTGGCCATTTCAAACGGCGGTGGTTTAAGAAGTTGGAAAAAGAGGGGTGTTTGAAAAGCAAAGAAAACTGAAGAAAATTTCAAGAAAATTACCTTTATTAGACGCGGAATTCGCCGATTTATAAGTTTGGAGCAACGAATTTCGGTTTAAGGCTTCGGATTGATGAGAATAAGTGGAAAAAGGAAATGGGGTTAGTAGCAGTGATTAGCGAGAAGCGAAATTGAATTAGCAAAGAAATGAGGAAAGAGAATGGGATGAGTGGTTAAAATACCTTCCAGAGATGGAATTCTGGGAGTCCGCGCCACTAAAACCCCCACTAACTCCACTTCAATGCTCAGACGCTCATACGCTTCTCCAATTAACTACCCACTAAACTATCCAACTACCTAATTACTCTCAAAATAACCGTTATTGCCTCAATAACCTCCAAACTTAAATGCTAATTAAATCATTTACTTCCCTCCATTTTGCAAGTTAAAAACCTAACCCGTCATACTTCCAAATCGGGTCTGGGGGCAAGTTGTTTGGGTTCAATTGCATTGCCTATTTATGATTTTTAAATCAGCAATAAATTTGATGATTTTAATTTGTTTAATAGAAATGGGTGCTGGTTCTTCTTCAAACAATAATGCAATTGAAAGTAACAAAGATATGATGGTTTCTTGGATAATCTCTGATTACACTACTGCAAATTTCAATGATTGCTGCTCTCGAAATTTGATTGGACTTACCAAAAAGATGGGAACTAACTATAATAAGTCTTGCTTTCACATAAATAAATAAATGTGGTCTCTTGTGATTAAAGATTAATGGTATAAGTAGTTCATTAGATTGAATAATTGTTGATTGTATTTTTGATCAATATATTGCAACTAATAATGGGGATTTGATCTGGTTTTTATTATTAGATGAAAGTGGAAGTTTTGGTGCTTCAGCTTTATTAGTTCCTATGAAAGTGAAAGTGGAAGATTATGTTATTCCAGTAAGTCTTTTGATGCTCTATTTAATTAAGATTAGTGTATTGAAATCATTTAATTAATACTGAAAACTGACTGAATGAATGATCTTATATATGTTCATGATTTCAGGTTCGGAAAACAGCTAATGTAGCACCAGAAAATGGTATTTTGTCGGGCCACCAGAATGCGAATGGTAATGGTAATGGTAACGCGGGTAATGATAGTGGTGTACGAAACCACAACCAAATGCTGGGAATAATAACGGAGCAGCGGCTGCTAACAATGGAAATGTTGGAGGACATGACAACGGAAACGTAAATAATGGGAATTTGGTGGAGACAGAAACTTAAGATTTATCAGTATGATGCGAATTGAGAATTGAGATTGATTCACGACACCAATACAGTTGCAGACAATTTTAACAGTTGGTTCGAATTTGCTGGCGTGGTGTATCAATATTGGCTGACTGATGTCGGCCATGCCAATGCCGAGCAGCTAGCTGGAGCAGTGATAGTACCAACGCCACCTGCCGATTGTTGGCCTGGAAGTAGGACTGTCTTCGGACGTGTTGATGGTGGTCAGAACTTTACTGACTTGAATTGGCTTCAACACGAATGGCACAATGTTCGAGCCCAAATTAATTGTGTCTGTGTGGTTGCTGAACATCAACAACAACAGCAGCAGCAACAACAACAACAACAACAACAACAACAACAACAACAACAACAACAAGGTCAACAACAATGAACAACATGCTCAAGCCTGAATACTTAATTCCTAGTATAATGTACTACATTACATGGATTTAGTTCGTTGTAGGTAATATTTCCATCAGTTTTTGGTAGATGCATGTATGAAAATGATCGAGGATTGATTGATTGATTCATCTTCTGTAATTGTGGGGGGTGTTAATGTACAAATGTTCTATTAATTATCAACTCATTTGATACTGGAAGGTTTGCAATTTGTGAGTGTATTGTTCAAGTGATCCGAGACAATGGTATGTTCACTGAAACAAATTCTGACTTCAGATTTGCATGTTTATCAGCAGGAAGTTATACTTGTTCTGAATTTAGCCCTGATGAGTAAAAAATATATGTGATGCTCACAAATGTTGCACTAATTTTGTACTTAAGGGTCAACACCGGAAAAAGAACACTCGGCACAAGGTTCATATAAAAGGAAAAAATGAAATTGGTAGGTTCTTCCTTGCAAGGAAATTTGTTGCCTAGAGCCGAGATGCAGCAATGCAATCTCACCTATGATTATGTCGGCTATACTGTTAAGTGAGCAAGGATACAAATATGGATAATCAGTATAATTATGATGTGATCAGTAGGTATTTACCACTAGAAGTCTAGATTCGATGGGAAAGCATTAGAGGTAAAGAATCATTGCAAATTGTGATCCTCTTCATTTATGAAGGCAGAAGGGGGTGGTCAGAATATGTGTTGTATACTCACAATTTTAGCTGAAATGTGCTAAAATGGAGGAATATTATAACATTAGGATGCAAGTATGAAGCGGTAATCAGTATGGTTAGATCAATGGGAAAGAATCTGCTTTTAGACCTACATTATGAAAAATTTGGAGAGCTAATTTGTGGAGTATAATATGAGTATGCGGCACATGAGGGTTCAACATTCGCATTAGCATCAATATTTAAGGCAACAATTGCATATATGGAGTTCAATAGTATCACTCGTATACTTGAGTATGCCTCGTGTGGGTTCTAGTCGGATGATGGTTTGATTTATTCGCTCAGAAAAAGGATACAGAAATTTCCAAAAATGTCAAGGAAAGCTGCAGCACTAATTTTTTCGATTGGTTCAACTATTAGCTGTTTAATAGAGAATAAGATGAGAATAAACAGCTAGCAGATGTTATATTGCTATCACTTTTCCAAAACAGCAAAACACTATCAAGAAGATGATTTTAACAGCTAAAGCAAGCAGATCATATATTTGATTAGCTAATCCCCTAATTATTTTATCAGGCCAAGTTTTGTGTAGCACATTACAAAGTACCTTCCACTGTATTTCACATTCTATAGGAAGTTCACTATTGTCCGAAATTGCTTACAGAGCTAAACCACATGAGTTTGACTTTTAATAAGGATTGTACATTAACAGTTTAACACCCCCACAATTGCAGAACAAATTCTCAATCCTTGATCAACAAAAACACCTAGGAATATTACCTCTAAAACTTCATACCTACAACTAAATACCAGGAAATAAGCATTGCAACTAGTGCAATTACAACAAGCAAGTTCATTCACGGACGAGCTTCCGCTTGCGCAACCACCAGGACACAATTAATATCCGCTCGAACACTTTGCCATTCATGGTCCTGCCAACTCAGGTCGGTGTAGTTTCCATCAACATCGACACATCCGAAGTAAACCGTATGTCCAGGCCAACAAACAGTAGGCATTACTTCCGTGACCACCACCGCTCATTGGGAATGTTGTGTAAATACACCCATATTGCAAATATTGCTCCAGCAAATGTAGTCCAACTACTATAATTGTTTGCAACTATGTAAGTGCTTATGTAGTCCAAAGGTTGATTTATCTCACTATACCTATAAATCGTAACATCGTTAAGTCCATCGACTCCACCACCACCATTTCCGTTATCTCCACCACCACAACTGCCATTGCCATTTAACATTGGCATCATCATTCGGATTGCACTCAACATCTAGACCCTCTTCGACCTGAAATGATGTAACATAAAATCACTCACCACATATAATCACATATATATTAACTAGTACAATTACAACAAGATAAAGGTGAGCAAAGTGGCCCTAGAGAATTTGGTCCGGCCCGGTTTTGACCCAAAGCCATATAGCCCGAAATTCTAGGGTCATTTTCAACACGAGGCCCGTACCGCTCTTTGGCCCGAAACCCGGACATGCACCATGCAATTTGCCCGAAAAGCCCAGATTTTGGGCCGGGGGCCGGCTCGGCCCGCCCCTTTGCTCACCTCTACAACAAGATTGAAAATTATAGGAGCTCACTCACTACCGTATGTGGGTAATCACAAGGACACAGTTAATTTGTGCTCGAACATCTCGTCATTCGTGTAGATGCCAGTCCAGGCTATGAAAGCTCCCACCCTGAACATGTCCGAAGGCCGTTGCACATCCAGGCCAACACTCGGCAGGTGACATTGGTGCAACCGCCGTCGTGCTTAGCTCTTCGGCCTTGGCATGGCCCGAAGCAAGCAGCCAATACTTATACACCATTGCAGCAAAGTCAAACCAATTTTCATATTTGTCTGCTACTAAAACAGGGCAAATTCTCCGTTTCTCCTAATGATTAACCAAATTTGTTTCTCATGGGGGCAATCTCACCATTTTACCCGGTTTTACACATTATATGGACTCTAACGTGCAAAACTTCGTGACAGCTAGACAACATGGGTTAAACAGATTATTTGACGGAGTTAATTACACGTGTTTCTTGAATTTGGAATTACAGTTGTCTGAATATTGGAAAGAAATCAAATTGGGGAAAAAGATGAACTTATTAGGGCTGAACTGAGCTGCTGGTCGAAGTTCGACTTGCTGGTATTTGGAATTACTGTTGTCTGAATATTGGAAAGAAATCAAATTGGGAAAAAAAGATGAACTTAGGGCTGAACTGAGCTGCTGGTCGAAGTTCGACTTGCTGGTAGTTTGACGAAGATTGTGGAGTCGAAGACACTGACGGAGGTGAGTCCCTTATGTAGATTTGAATTGATTGTCGTGTTTTTTGAGATTATGAATTGTTAGATTTGCATTTCCTTTCTCATGAAATTGAATTGAAATCGAAATGAACTGCGTAGAAATTGAATTGAAATCGAAATGAATTCGCCTGTAATTATTGGCTAAAACTGAGTTCAAATCGAATAAACTGAGCTGCTGAAAAAATGAGTTCAAACAATAAATTAGCCTTTTGAGTTCAATTCGAAATGAACTGAGCTGCTATTCGAAATGAATTGCTGAAAAAATGAGTTGAAAATTAATTTAGCTTGTATGAAATCCCCGTTCATTGTTTACCTAACTTTGAAGTGTTTGTTTCGTTAATATAAATGTTCAATGGACCTGGATTGAGGAATAATAATTTGAATTATTAATTGAAATGTCAATAATTAACGGAATATTGGAGAGCTGTTGTTGTGGAATTGGTTCATTTGGAGAAACCCTCATTTGCACTAGTGTATTATTATTTTATCATACAATTCGACACAATATTGTACATGAACCTCTAAATGTCTTCTGAAGTAAAGTGTAAGCGCAGAAGAACAATTTGTGACAAAAATGAGGTGAGTACCCTATGTCATCTTAGTTTATTTATGGTATAATATAGATTGGACAAAAAGGAGATGCATTTGCTCGAACCATGCAGGTTGGCTCAGTTGAGGAGGGGGGATATATATTGAAGAAAAGGGTATTAGTAAGTCAATCAGTATTAGTAAGTCAATCAAATTTATTCTCTATCATTGTCTATGGTGTTGTTAAGATATTGTTGTTCCATGGGATTGCAGGAAACATCGAAATCCAAGAAGAAAACAATAACCTTTTACCCGGGAATTTTTAAGGTAGTAATGTTTTTGTGAAATGAATATTTTGCACAGGAGTGCGGATAATCCAAACAAAGTATTGCTAATGTTGTTGATTTTTTAGGATGATAGTTTAACTTATGGCGGAGGTTGTAACGGAACACTCAAAGGGGAGTAGATGGGTAAGATTTTTAATGTTTTAGTGTTGCAATGTGTTTTTTGTTGGCTTGTGTATTTATCATTAATTTAATTTTACAGCCTGCCCACATGAGTTGTCGGATTGAGTCATTTGGTTAGATTTGTGGGAAATTTGATGATAGGAGAAAACGCTGGGTGTATGAGATGGGTTTTGGTGGTCTATTACACCTGTCATATGATATGCAATTACCGAGGCTGTTGTCGTATTGGGTGATGACTCGTATAGATCCGATAAGTAAAATGTTCATAACCCCAGATGGTGTTGAGTTTAGGTTTTCTAAGAAACAAGTTCGATGGGATTTAGGGATACCAATGGTTTCAAAGACTGTTTCTTCGACAAAAACAATGACTTTTGCGGATCGTGAAAAGGTTCAGAGAAATTTATTGAAGTATGGGAAGTCATGGGAGTCCACTGGACAATGTGGTCGTGTTTACACGTCGGTTGGGATACCATTGAATTTGGAAATGATGGATCGATTAGAGGGGCACTTTGATCCGGAAGAGGAAGAAGAATTCAAGACGCTTTTCTTGATAGTTGCTTAAGAGAGGGTGTTGTGCCCTACACAGTCACCTCGTCTTGCGGCTGATTTATTGGCAATTGAGTATGACTGGTGTGGTTTAGTGTTGTCTAAATTCATGGGGAGTATTTCTAGTATTGCCCGGCGTTTTTATGCTCATGGGTTTGCGAGTGGATGTGGTTGGTATGCTATATTTGCCGTTGTAAGTCATTACAATTTACTTTATGTATTTTCATTTTAATTTGATTTAACTAGTTACATACACATACATATATATATGTTTGGCACACAACTTTTATACTTAAAATTTTATGCAGATTTTTTACCTAGACCGTTTGGCTAGAGATCCTGTTGAATGGGAAGCTTTCCCTAGACTGAAGGTATGGAATATGCAGCAGATTCGAGATGCATCGAAGTTGGACAAATTAGTGACAGGGGACTATGGGAGGTTAAGGGTAAGGCTAATGTCTTTGGTTATATTTTTTCCTTCCATACCGGGGTCTGATATGAGACTGTGACAATACAGTTATAGGTATTGGGCGTTGCCTATGGCGAACAACACCCAAGGGAGGCACGGGACAGTGTAGCACCCAAGGATGAGTTTCATGTAAGTGTTGTAGATGCAACCAATTGCTGTGCTGATGCGTTATGGCTAAAATATTGTTTTTGTTTTGTTGCAAAGTTGGTAGCAGGACCTGCTATCTCCAAGTCGAAGGTTAGGGAAAGGAGGGAAGTCAAAAGAAATTTACAATTAGCATTATCATTACCATTTGTATTAGCAATGAGTTATAAGCATTTTTTAATAATAAACTGTTGTATTATTTTGGAAAAACATTGATCTGTATTCATGATCTTCTAATAATTTATTTTCTGATGAGCATTTTTAAGTGTTATAGACAGGCTAAAGTCGTATCACCTAATCAAAAGAATTGCCTAAGTCCTCTAGCTAAAGTAGATAGGGAAGTAGGGTCGAATCCGCAAGGAAATAAGTCTTTCTATTCCTAAATAATTAATATTATCTAAATTATCAAGTAACCGAATTATTGTTATGAGAGTAAACCTAATAATTAAACTAATGCAAGTTGAGTAAGGGAGAAAATCAATAATAAAAGGCCTAGGGTATAGGTTCACCAATAAACAATATTCCAGGGTAAAAACATAACAATCAATTATCAATGCATAAATTAATCAGATCATAAAGGGCTTTCGCTACGTATTACAATCACAGAATTAATCTACCAGTATTAAATCGCATCTCTCGAATCTTGACTTAACCATTTATAAATTAACCTGCCTATTGAAACTAAGCCTAAACATCAATTCTCATCTCTCGAATCTCGAGTTAATATTGCATAACTCATACAATTAAACCAGCGATAATCTAATTGCATAGCAGTAAACCAATCAATAGGAAATTATTTTGAAACATTAACAATCAACCATAATAAATTACCCCTTCATATTATTTATGGATCCCCATAAACCCTAGTATGAAACTACTCACACATAATTAGATCTAAACTAATCAAAGCAATTAAACAAAGCATATTAAATCAAAGCAATTAAATTACTGAAAATAAAGAGGGAAGAAATCGTTACCAAAGTAAACGGAAAATAATGAATTGCATAAGTCAAAGGTGCAGAGAAAAAATAAAAGTATTAACCAAAAACTAAAAATCAGAAATCTGGAAATTAACTAACTAAAGAAGTAGTAATCGTCTCTAGCTTAAAAACGTATTTTTACTTAAGCACAAAATCCCATTAAAAACAAATTAAATCATCAAAACTTCTTCTTAGAAACATGCACCCGGTCGGGCGGAGCTTCGCCCGGCCGGGCCCGCCTTTTTGAGCCTTTAATCTTCACTTGCACCCGGTCGGGCGCGTGTCAGGGCAAAGCCTCTTTTCCTTCTATATGCCTCGCCTGGCCGGGCGCGCCTCAGGGCGAGCTCTCGGGCAAGCTGGACCTTTTCACTTTTGGGCTATTTCTCTCGGCCAATTCCGAATTTCCTCTTGGGTCTTGAATACTTGGTCCATTGCCTCGATCTCTTCTTTGATGAGCCCTTAATCACCGATTTGACGACTCCAACCGGTCCTGGGCTATGAAATATGGTCATAATTCTCCAATGCTCGTAGTGGCTTATCATAAGTCTGGGAAAATGCTCCAAATTTGCAATTTTCTATCAAATAGTACCAAAACTACGAAAACACTAGAAAACGCATATTAGTAATAAAAGTGGCTCCAAAAAGCCAATAATACTCCTAAAAATGACCAAGGGATGGGGGTAAATCACTATAGAAAATAAACATATCAGTTATGCCTTACATTTGATGTATTGAGCATGGAATGTTAAAATGAAATCAGGCCAACAGACTTATCCATTGACATTGTCTCTTGTGGATTGGAAAGAATGGACTTATGCATTGCTATTGTCTCTTATGGAAAAGAAAGATATTTCAAATAATATGAGGCCACGATCCATTTGATTGAACATGCAATTAGCCCATCAAAATTAACTGACTTATCCAAAAGATATAAGGTCCAGGAATATTTCCCATTTGTTTGGACATGTTTTCCTGATTGTTAATTAGCCCATTCGATTTAACATGCTATCCTTATGGTTCATTAGCCCATATAAACTTAACACACTGGATCCAAATTATACTAATTAACACTCAATAATAATAATCATCAACAACTAAACCAACTGATCATTTCATTAATCAACCAAAAATAATACAGAAAAAGGTTGATATTGTTGCCCAAATCACATGGGACTTTGACACAAAAGACTAGAAACACCTACTACTAGACTATGACTCAAATGGCCTTCTAGATTATGACACAAATGGCCTTAAAGAGTATCACCACAATTGACCTACAAAAGACGGATTCATGCTCCAAGGTGATTTCATTAACTTAATTAGCAAATTCACTTGTCAACTTAACAAAAACATAACAACTCCATGACAAGGACAAAAACATCTCCCTCGACAAAGACTGGACTAGATATTGGTTAAGCAAAACACCTCGTGCCCATTCCGAATACCAACATCACGGAAAGTCTGACACGGGAGGACATTCCGATTCTCATTTGTATGATCTCCTGATTCACATCGACCTCATCACTCCAGATCTTGGACAGCACCTTCAAATTTGCGAAGACAGGGACGATCACCTCCTTCATACGCGGGCGGGTGCGCAGCTGACAAAGATACACAAGCTTGGTACAGACGTCCAAGTTATCCTCGAAGTTCTAGCATTTATCCAATCAATATGCAGATTAAATAAACAAAACAAACGACAGTAAAGATTAAATAAACAAAACAAACGACAGTAAATAATAAGACATTAAATTAATAATATGGAGATTAAATTAACAAAACAAACGACTGTAAATTAATTATTTGAAGTACAAAAAACAAAACGTTACCTGCCCAACCACATAGAGGATGGACCCAGTCAGAATCCCACACGAGCCCTGCGTTTGCCCTATAGCCTTCTTAATGAAGATTTCATCCGGGAGGCGGTCTACTCTCGCAGCGTAGTCGTAGTAAATCTTCTCGAAATTTTCATTAACCTTTAGGCTGTACTCAAACCTGGGGTCACCGTCTGTGAGTCTTCGAACCCGGAATGTTATCTTTGGGACAAAGTGACAAGGACGGCCTTTGATGCTTTAAGAGGGGTAGCATCATCGCCTTTGGACTCGACCTCAGTATCATCACCACTAAGACAAATGACGGTTGTAGAACCACCAGACATTTCAGGATATGTGACACCAGTAACCTCAGGCTCATCAGTTAGGTCGACGACAACATCGTCGATAACTACAGGCACAGGCAAAGGCAAAGGCTGAGGCAGGGTAGGTGACTTGAGTTCGCAGCCTCCCAGCATGCGAGAGACTTCCCGGCAGCAAAGGTCGCAAGAAGACTGTGACGGCCAGCTCTGGTCCTCTTTTTTTGCTGCCGATGGCCACTTGAGGCAGATGTCGTGCCGCCATTAAATGGCAGTAGCTCAGGGTTAGGGACTTGAGTATCCATTTCTTGGCTGGAAGAAGACATTGAGTGTTTTCTCGTTTGGTTTTTGTATGGGTTAGATGTATGTGTGATTTGTAATAGGTGTAATAGGAGTTACTCCTTTTATAAAGGGGAATTTTCGTAGGAGTGTTGCCTTTCCATAAGCGAATAGGTCAATTATGTATGTGATATGTGTGGAAAATATTAAAATAATGTTTTCATATTCATAATTGGTTTTTCAATAATTTATGATAGGTCTATTTGTTAATAGTTACAAGTTATTCTTGTTACCGTGATTAATACAATACTTAAATACAATATTTACCTGAAATGAAAGAAGTTGTGAATGATAGAAGGTTTATGGCTTAAGATTATTCCACCAATTTGACCCGATAAATTATGAATTTTATTTAACTTAAACAGACACCACTTATTATTAATGAACCGACCTCACCAATAACCATGCTTTATTCACAAGACTAGCATGTAACTAGATATCAACGCAACATGCTAACCAAAATCCTACAAACGAATAAATTAAACCAAATAAATCTTAATCTTGAGTTTAATTTTGTAGAATTGAACAATTTGCTTAGATAATATACCAGCTGAACAACATATTGGTACAATTTGTTTAGAAATTAAGCCAAATTATAGAATAATGCTTGTAATACATAATTATGTACTAATATTGATCCGAACTAATATTGACGCAAACCCAAGAATGATCTAATTTAAACATTAGACCATGAAATTATCTGACCCAACTCTAACCCGAACTCGAATCCGAATGTGTTATTCCAATTACATGATTAGATTAATACAACTTGATTAGGGGATTTTGCTCCCACCAATCGGAATGCGCCACGTGGGCCAATCTGGTCCTGCCAAGTGTCCCCCAGTTGGAACTGTCAGGGCTTGCCACGTGGCACACACTTATTCGTCCACCTTGGACCTATTATGTCATGACACGTGGCATACTCCATGCCTAATGGAGAAACCGGCCACCCAGGCCCAACTTCCGAGGGAAGCCCAATCAGCCCTAGGTTAACCTAAACCTAGGATGGGCACGTTTCCCAAGGTTATAAATACCTCCCTTAATCCTCATTAAGGGGGATTACGCTAAAAAACTCACATTAAACACTCTCACCTAGAGAGACCCAATCACTTTAATTTCCGCATTAATTACTCCTCAAACAAGTACTAACTTGATCGTTGGAGGCGGAGCTCCCACCACCAGGAGTCTCCGTTGTTTTGCAGGTACAGGCGTCCGGTTCCAGTCTCGGAATTGTAACTCTCCCGCAGGAAATCAGAAAACCCCAAAACATTTGGCGCCGTCTGTGGGGATAGTACTTCTGAGATGGCATCCAAGTCTGTACCGACTCCTGAAGAGAGGCGTCCCCTAGACGCCCCTCAAGTTCAGTCGGACCACGATACTGAGAATGAATTTGAAGTTGAAGCTCACACAGCTTCAGACGGGACCCTAAGGGCCCGACGTACCCGTCATACCGAAAGGAGGGAACGGGAACATCTTCAAACTGGAAGCGAGCCAGCAGGCGCACCGCCTGTTCGGCAGCAGCTGACTGATGGGTCTGCTCCCATCACAAGGAACGAACTCATGACCTTCATGAGGGACTTCAAGGGAGAAATTCAAGAGTTGATCAACAAGAAGCCGCCTGCTCTGGATAAGGAGCAGTCGGCTAAGAAACCCTCCACTTCACTGAAGAGGAAGCCAATTCAAGGGCGAGAGGCGACTCCTCATCCTAAATCTAGGAAGCGGGAGCCGACTGCCCTTGATTTCACAAAATACCGTTTTCCTACTCTAGGAAATAGGAAACCTGTTCGTCATATTCAGGCGGACGGGTCGAGGAAATCATACACAGACGCTCGGCTACTGCTAGAGCAGAAGAAGAGTGACCGATTGTCAGAGTCGGCCTCTACTTCAAACTTCCAAGACAGTCTGCGAAATACCTCAATGAGGCATACTCAGTCGTATCATGAGAGTCAGTCAGGCGGCACCTCCCGTCAGTCCGGCTTTCATAGCGACCAGGCGGTACCAAACTTACCGTTTGTACCGCATCAACAGTATTTTTTACAGCCACCTCCGTTTGGTGGACATGCAGCAAAAAATGTCCAACCTATGGACTGGCAGCTTCGGTTGCTTAGACTTGGTGAACAGCCGTCGGCCTTCTCCAAGGAAATTACTGAAGCCGCTCACCCGACCAAAGTGAAAAATGTATTAGTAGGCGCCTATGACGGCACTACTAACCCAGAAGACCATCTGATGGCATTCACCAACCTGATGTACCTTCAAGGTTGGATGATCCCACTTGGTGCAAGTGTTTCCCAGCGACTCTCAAAGGAATCGCACAACAATGGTTCGGCAACCTGCCGACTGGTTGTGTAAATAACTTCAGGACGCTTGCTTACTTATTCACCTCCAACTTCGCCATGAACATCCCTGCGAAGAAGACGACCCTTGATTTAGGAACAATTCAGCAGGGCGAGAAGGAGGGGCTTCGTTCTTACATCAGGCGGTTTAACCTAATGAGAATACAGATTCAAGGGTTACCGGATGAAGTAGCCTATACTGACTTTTTCACAGGTCTCAAGGACGGGTCGACCTTAAAATTTGATTTGGTCCGAAAGAGGGTGGCGACTCTTCAAGAGGTCTTGATTGAAGCGGAAGCCTATATACAGGCGACTGATCTATGTAGTACGGTAAAACAGTCGGACGGGAAAAGGTTCGACAAAAGAGAAGGACGACAGAAACAGTCGTCAAACAAAGACGAGAAGAGAAAATAGGTCTGGGCGGCTGATTCCTCTAAACAGCCGGCCCAGAAAAAGAAAAAAGAATTCAAACCATACTCCCCAAAGTATGCGTTTAACAAGGATAGCAAATTTATCCTAGAGGAAATCAAGGGACGGATCTCAATTGAGAAGCCGGTCCCCATGAAGGGTTCTGCAAACAACCGGAACCAAGAAAAATTCTGTGCTTATCATGAAGATGTTGGTCATCACACCAATGATTGCATCAGTCTCATGCGGTATCTGGACCGCCTGGCTGAGCAAGGTGATCTTGACATTTATGTCAAGAAATCTACGGGGAACACTTCCTCGAAAAAGCAGTCGGCCAAAAAGAATCAACAGGCCGACAGCTCCGATACAGATGATGCAGTCGTCTACACCATTGCAGGCGGCTTCTCAGGAGGCGGCCCCACTATTAGGGGCAACAAAGACAACATCAGACGGTTAGATGTAAATTCCGTTCACCAAGAACGACCCTCCAAATATTCATTTCCTGAGATTGTCATCACTGAAGAAGATCTAGGAGGGGTAAGAGGGCCGCATGACGACCCTATCGTTATTGAATGTAAAGTGGCCAACCAGAGAGTTGGCCGAATTCTCATAGATACCGGAAGCTCCTCAGATCTCATCAGTTGCAAATGTCTGTCGAAACTAAAATATCAGACTAATTGCATACATCCGGCATCCCACCCTTTAGTAAGGTTTGGAGGAGGAGTCGTCCACCCACTGGGACGAGTGGATTTACCCATCCGCCTGGGCGAAAAAGGGGAAGGACGACACATGGTAGTCCGGTTCCTGGTAGTAGAAGAACTCTCGGCCTACAACATGATTCTGGGACGACCAACCCTGAATAATTCCAAGGATGTTATAATCCCATCTCTTATGTTGCTCAAGTTTGAGAGGGGATAATGGAACAGTCGGCTCCCTAAGGGGAGATCAGAGGATGGCCCGAGAGTGCTATCTCTTGGATGTCAAGCCCACTGTTATGGCCACTGGGTCAAGTGGTGGAAAAACAGACCTTGACAATGTCAAGGAGAGTGCGCCTGTTCAAGAAGCAGGCGGCAAGAAGAGAAAGGCATCCCAGACAGGGGCCGCAAGAAAAGACAAAAAATAGCAATCATTGGCAGAGGTGCGGTCGGATGAATTCCGCCCTCAACCGGCTGGTGAGCATACGAACTTGATCTTAGACGACTCACGTCCTGAGCGAACAGTCAAAGTTGGGACGACTGCAATGAGAGACCTTGGTGACGACTTTCACAAACTATTGAAAGAATACAAGGACATCTTTGCATACGAAGTCCATGAAATGCCAGGCATTAGTCCTGATCTGGCGGTACATAAACTGGCCGTGGATCCAAAAAAGAAGCCGGTACGGCAGAAGAAGCGGAACCATGGCGAAGAAAGAAGTCAGGCGGCAGCCGCCGAAGTTAAAAAATTACTTGATGCAGGGTTCATTCGGCAATGTTACTTCCCAGACTGGGTTGCAAATGTGGTGCTTGTTTAAAAGCCGAATAACACCTGACGAATGTGTGTAGACTACACAGACTTAAACAAGGCGTGCCCCAAAGACAATTACCCTCTGCCTAAAATTGATAACCTGGTCGACTCAACAGCCGGCCATGCTTTAATGAGCTTTATGGACGCCTACTCTGGTTTCCATCAAATTCCTTTATGGGAGAAAGATCAGGAGAAGACGGCCTTCGTCACTGATCAGGGGTTATACTGTTACACGGTCATGCCGTTTGGTCTTAAGAATGCCCCGGCCACTTTCCAGCGAATGATAAACACTGTGTTCTTTGATCAAATTGGGAGAAATGTCGAGGCATATATTGATGATATGATTGTCAAGTCTAAACTTTAGAAAGATCATCTGTCGGACCTCCGAGAAACTTTCGCCACACTCAGGCGGCACCATGTCATGCTCAATCCCAAGAAATGTGTCTTTGGAGTTGAGTCTGGGAAATTTCTCGGATTCCTTATCAATCAGAGAGGAATAGAGGCGAACCCTGAGAAGGTGCAAGCGGTCATTGACATGCAGTCGCCTCGTACCATCCGAGAGGTTCAGAAGTTAACAGGTTGTCTGGCGGCCTTGGGAAGATTTCTAAGCCGATCAGGCGACAAATGCTTATACTTTTTCCAGGCAATTAAGAAAAAGGCAAGGTTTGAATGGGGGCCGGATGCTGAGGCCGCCTTCCAGAAATTGAAAGTTCACTTGCATTCCTTGCCGAGGCTGGTCAGCCCTTTGCCCAAAGAAGTACTCTACATGTACCTGGCCGTCTCTAATCATGCGTTAAGCGCTGTTCTCCTTTGTCATGCCC